TGGCACATCCGGACCTGAGATTCTCAGGAGTGTCTGGCGGGGCTGCAGCAGGTCCGGGGGCTCAGGAAGACACAGTAAGGTCACTGAGTTCTGCTCAGAAAGCGAAAAGCTGGAAAGAGCCTCAAGATGAAAGTGAGAATAGAACAATTGCCATAGCATTTTTTATGACGTCCCTCGTGTGTGCCGGACTCCACCAGAACACCTGCATCTCTTGGCACTTTTTTCAAACCTTCCTTCCCTCTAAATAAGTGAAATGATTGTCTGAGTGCAGGGCATGGAGAAAAGGAAGTTTTCCAAAGTGTCGTTGTTACGATCCAGCCCTGCCAGGACATCGAGTACATCTCCTGAGTCCCCGGGGCAGGCTTCCCCAGGATCTTGGCATCTGAAATGCCTTGCCTTCTGTAAGAAATTACACAACCTAAGGCATTGAGCATGGATGACTGAGGGGCAGATATCTGTGTGCATTAACATGAACGTGTGCTACTTCAAAATGCTTGTGTGCGTCCCTGTGTTCAGATGCAGATGCTTCAGCAGTGTCCGGGAGATTTTCACCGCCCTCTCAAACTGCTGTAGCTGTGAGGGCTTCACACAAGCTTTAAGTCATTCTGAAGTAAGTTCACCAGAAACAGCCGCAATTTTGCCTTCTATGGAGATATCCGGAGTCTTTTCCTTTCTTTTTATATATTTTTGAACTCACTAAGTTTCTGTTTTTTTAAATATACTTTTGCATAATCAAAAATAAAACAGGCTACATCAGGCAACCTTAGTCAAAGAACTACTGGCAGCTGATTACTGATGGGTGAGGGAAAATTGATCTTTTTTAAGGGAGTGACTTTAGATAGGCTGACTAGACCCCAGTGGATGAACTTGCATTGGGGGACAACTGGGGACACTAACTTGACTTGATAGGCCTTAACATAAATGACAGAATCCATGAAATCCAGTAGGTGGAGACTATGGGAGGGTGCTGACGGGGAAGGGGTATAAAAATGATCGAAATGTTTTGCATGAAATACACAAATCCAATAAAAACGACACACAAAAAAACATATTTTCATTTCATAAAAATATTTATATATTTATAACCCAAGGAAAAAAAATTGTAAACTCATGGGTAACAAGTCACCAAATCGCTTCCTAAAGAAAGGCAGGGACCCTTAAGTGTAGAAGGCGCTGTCTCCTATCTAGGAGTCTCACTTTTCCATCTGGGAAGTGGGCACAGTGCTGTAGAAGGGAACTAAAGGATTTTAAACTGTCTTTGAAAAGCAAGCATCAGGGATATACAAAACAATTATTGTGTTAACTAATTATTGCTTCCTAAAAATTTATAATCGTTTTTTATTTAAAACAAAGGAGACATGTTTCAGGGGTTGCTAATAAGGACTGTATCAGTTAGACAAACACCACCTCACCCCCACCATCACCAAGGTATCTAAAGCCTGGTCCAGTGATTCCTCAAGAGAAACCTGAGCTCTAAATGTTTCCATGCAAATACTCTAAAATCTCACACCTAATTTAAATTTTCAACTACTTTGTGATCTTTGTTGTCACCTTGACTGATCTGGTTCTTGGACAGGACTCTTATATTAAACTTCACCCACCCAGGGCTCAGGGAGCATTGCAGAAGAGGGGACAGAAAGAGCGTAAGAGCCAGGGAGGAGGTGCACGACCACATGGAAATAAGAGTCCTACAGGCTCCTGGGACCCTTCTCATATGAGCCTACAGCAATGGTGTCAGCATACACAAGTCCCATGCAAACTGAGCAGACAAAAACCCAGCATAGAACTGGGGAAATGGGCAGCAGACCCGAATCTTAGCTGAAGAAATATTGGCAACTGATTACTGCTGGGTGAGCAAGAGCTGATCTTTCTAAAGTGAGGGACTCTAGATAAGTTGACTAGACCTCAGTAGATGAACTTGCACTGAGGACACTAACTTGACACAATAGGTCTTAACACAAATGACAGAATATATGAATTTCAAAGGGGGATTATGGGAGAGTGTCAGTGGGGATGGGGGTATAAAGATGACTGAGATTGATTGAGATGTTCTGTATGAAATACACAAAAATTAATAAAAAACATTTTTTTAAATCTGTTTTCTTTTATATTTAATATAAATCTGAAAGATATTAGCTAAACATTCATATTTTTATCTATTTTTATTGTATATATTGAATGTCTACAACAAACAGTGGTGTTGGGGGACATTAAGAGTCCTTAAATCTACTCTGAACAAACCTCCAGACATGGTTTTATTTACCGTATGCAGCCTTGTGCTATAAGCAGAAGCCTAGCTTTCTCCCACATCCAGGTTTGTCTCCTCTAACTGGCTTCCTCATTTCCCCAACTCAATCCTGGTGGACTCCTCTCTGTTTCGGTTTATTTGACTTTTTTTCATGTGAGATCATGCACTATTTTTCTTTCTGTTCCTGGCTTATTCAGTCAGAATAATGTCCTCCTAAGTGCCCATCCATATGTTAGTGGATAAAGAAACTGTATGTGACATATATACATATATATATATATAAAGTGAAATATTGCCTAGCATTTAAAAAGAACTGCCATTTGCAGCAATGTGGATGAGAGTGGGTGGCATATTAATGAAGCTCGGCTTCAAAATGTGAGGTTAGAACTTCATACTTCCAACACCACCTTGAGGTACAGAAAAATATATCTAAATAATTTACATATGGATAGATGCATGGATGCATGGATGGGTGGATGGATGGATGGATGGATGGATGGATAGATGGATGGATACGTGGATGGATGGAAGAAAACTTGTAAAAATATACCAAAGATACAGGAACTGGAGAGATGGCTCAGCAGTTAAGAGCACTAGCTGCTCTTGCATAGGACCCAGATTTGGTTCCTAGCAGCCACATGGCAGCTAACAACCTTTCACAACTCCAGTTCCAAGGGATCTGATGCCCTCTTCTGACCTTTTCAGGCATTGCACACACATGGTGCACCTACATATGTGCAGGTAAAACACTTATACACATAAAATAAAAATAAACTAATTAAAAACAATTGTTTTTGTTTTTTTTGTGACAAGGTCTCTCTGTAGCCTCGGCTGACCTGGAACTAGTTGTGTAGACCAGGCTGGCCTTGATCTCACAGAGATCCACCTGCCTCTGTCTCCCACGTGCTGGGATTGAAGGCAGGCACCACTACACCTGGATAAAAATATATTTTAAAATATATACACAATCTAATAAAAAAGAGAATGAAATCATAAACATAAAGCATATAGGCTGAGCAGTGGGTCTGTGGCAAGGAAAGTGGGGACTCAAAGACCGGTGCCAGCCCTGTCAGCATAATCACTGCGATCAGTCTGCCATCCCAGCAGCCAGAAGAAAGAAAGATAAAATAATGAAAGGGATGCTATTCATCTGTTGTCCCCAATGTCACAATCAGGCTCAGACATCTTTACTCTCCTAGTGACAAAACCAGATGAAACTGGGTCCCTCCCTCAGCTCTAAGCTAAAGATGACAACAGAAATGCTCAGAGGAAGAGGAAAAGCAGGAGGCCGAGAGGCTTGCCGAGTTCCTTTATTCAGCACCCTGATACTGTTTGCAGTCAGTGTGGGAACTGCCCACCCTCTTGCTTTTACCCCAACAGACTCCTCTGCACACATACTAATCATTTACTTTCTCTGAAGTACCAAGTTTTTACATAGGAAAGATTTCATTTTCATTTTTTATTTGATTTATTTTTATTTTGTGTGTGTGGATGCTTAGCCTGCATGTATGTGCATCCCTGTTGTGCAATGTCCATGAAGGCCAGAAGAAGGTGTCAGATTCCCTGTAACTGGAGTTACAGATGGTTATTAACCATACTGTGGGTGCTGGGAACTACACCCCAGGTCCTCTGCAAGGGCAGCCAGTGCTCTTATCTCCTGAGCCAACTCTCTAGTCCCCAAAGACTTCATTTTAAAGTAGGTCAGACTGGGGCTCTGGCCAGCCACCAGCAGAACAGGACACACACAAAAGAAGCCAGGGTCTTGGGGTAGCCTTGGGGCAGCAGAGTGCACTGGGCAGGCACAGTGAGGCCCCCACAGGGCCACCATGCTCCATGAGGCCTCGGGGAAAGGAAGTGGAGGAAGAGGAGGAAGAGCGAGCTCAGAGGCGAATGCTTCCCCCTTTAGCAGCATTGGTTCCCTGTCAAGGACCTGTTTGAAGTTTCAGGTATTTTTTTAATTTCCCATCAGAACTGTGTGTCTGCCTGAAAGAAGGGATCTATAAATGAGATATCACGACAGCCGGCCTAAACCTGATCAAAGCAGTTCTCAAGCCTCAGGCATAGAGAAGAATTCAAACCATCTTGACAGTCATTGGTCTGGGTAGTGATTCAGGAGACCTGATGGGGCCCAGGGGTAGGAGTCCTCTCTCCATGCCCGGCATGGACGAAGGAGCCGGCCCCAGAGGTTCTGGTCTGTCTCACTAGAGGACGGACTTTAGTCTGACAGTCTGGGGCCTGCCTGATTTTTTCCATTTTTAAAGGAGCAGATGTTCCCTGGGAATGAGATAGTTAGCTAGCCAGGGAATAGATGGAAATAAACCCTGTTGCCTGCCACTGTGTCCAGGCCCGGAGAATCATATTGGCTGATCCAGCCACCCAGCCGGCCTGGCCTCCCACGACGAAAGACCAGTACAACTGTCTTTGTTCTGGTTCAGGATGAGAGAGACAGTCTGTGGGGCTATTTGTCAAGTTTGTTGACTCTTATAAAGGACATTTATAAATTTATTCTTAGTGCCAGGAGTGCTTACCGGTGTCAGAGTGCAGCGTCCAGATGGCTGTTCCACGTTAAAACTGACCACTCACATGTGTCTATAAATAATTGTCTGGGCTTAGTCTAGCTAGCAAACAAAGTGTCTCTCTCTCTCTCTCTCTCTCTCTCCCTCCCTTCTTCCCTCCCTCCCTCCCTTACTCCCTCCCTCTTCTCTTTTTAAAATCACCTCTAAAATGATTTCATAAACAAGAATTTCCCATTAATATTAAAGTGTGTCTGGGTTGATCATTTTAATAGAACTTTCCAGAGGGAACAAGCAGTCCTTCCATCTTGTTCGTGTGAAGCCTGCTCCCTCTTCAGAACAAGCTTGGCCAGGCATGGGCAACATCAGCCTTAGCCTATCAGGAGAGCGTGTCACCACCCTGAGGCCTTCAGAGTTTCTGCTCTGACTTTCGAACTTCAGAATTCTTCCCTTCAGGTTCTCATTCCTCTAAGAAAAAGAAGACATTATGACTGTATCAGTTTAATTGATAGAACTCCCTCTACAGCACCCCCTCAAAAATGACAGTGGGTTAAACAAGACAGAAATACATATACACACACACACATATATATATATTATGTTTTTAAAAAACTCAGTAATAGATAGCCTAGGGCTGATGCTGTGGCGCTACTGTGTCATCCTCTGTTTTCGCAGTTTATCATCTTTGGTGTATCAACTCACAGTTCAGAATGGCTACTCAAGTCCAGCCATCATAGGTGCACTCCAAGCAGTCAGAGGAGGAGATGAAGGGCATCTCCTAGCACTCAGTGCTCCTCCCACACTTCATCAGAGACTACTCAGCTAGCCTCACATAGCCACAAGAGACTCAGTCAGTGCTCTAGTGCACTTTCTGTTGTGTGATAAAAACACTGACCCAAAGCAATGGGAAGGAAAGGGTTTGTTTCAGCTCACAGTTACAGCCCGTCATCAAGGCAAGCCAGGGCCAGAACTCAAGGCAAGAACCTGAAGGTAGGAACTGAAGCAGAGACCATGGAAGAACACTGCTTACTGGTTTGCTTCCCCTGGCTTGATCAGCTACCTTTCCCCTACAGCCCAGGTCCACCTGCCTAGGACTGGAACCACCCACAGTGGGCTGGGTTCTCCTATATCGATTAGCAAGTAAGAAAATCCTCCACAGACATGCCCTCAGGTCAATCTGATGGAAGAAATTCCTTGATTGAGATTCCCTCTTCCCAGGTTTGTCTAGCTTTACATACCAGCACAGTCATATTTCAGATAAGCCGAAATATTATCTGAATGGGAAGAGAGGCCAGCAGGAAGCTATAGTCACTAGCTACACGGCAGGTATCTCCTGCAGTCTCCCAACACTCTCAGCCCACTTTGTTGTACCATGGTGCTACCCAGAAAATACCAGTTCCCATGCCTCTTTAGGAATCCCTTCTTTCCAGCCGTTTTTCTTCCTCTGATTTGGGATTCTGGAAAGTTGAGCCAACAAGCTGGGCTCAAACCAAATTCTTATCAGGGCAGGAACACAGGTTTTCAGAAACTCCTGGCCCATGAGCTGTCCCCTGTGGATGTGATAATCACCCTGAAGGACTCTGAAACAGGAAACTGAAAAGCAGACTTGAGTCTCCTCACTCAGGGACCAACACAGATCTTCCAGCCCTGAGAAGCCCTACTGAGTAGGGGCTAAAGATAAGGTCAAGGGCATAGTCACCCAGGCCAGATCTAATGGCGATGCCTCATATCTTTTTTTTTTTTTTAAGAATAAAGTAAATATTTTTAAAAGAACTTCATACATATATACAATGTAATATGATCATATTCACCTTGAATTTCCTCTTTCCAACTTCCCCTATAATCCTCCCAAGAGGTCCTTCTTCTAACTTCAACTCCTCCTCCCCCCTTCCCTCTCCTCCTCTTCCTCCTCTTCTTCCTCCTCCTCCTTCTCTCTCTTTTTTTAAACTTTATTGAGAATTTCATACATGTATATAAGGTGTTTTGTTCAAGGATGGTGTGATAAGAATAGGAGATAGGAACTGGCTAGGCAGTTAGGGTAAAAAGACTCCAAAGAAAAGTACCCAGTTTCTTGACTGAAAGTTAAAATGTCCCTGAGCCTCTTAGTGACATACTCTGTTCCAAGGGCCAAAAATGTCAAAAGTATTTGGGAGCTCTTATCTAATCCCTAAAAGATGCCTTATATCTTCATCACCACCGTCATTACGTCAACACTTGCTCTGACTTCCTCCTCACACCACTCTACCATGTGTAGTACCGGCACTATCGTTACACCGTTTACAGAGGAACCAAAGCCCGAGACCTGATGGTGTGCCCAAGGAAGTCCATACAGTACTGCTAGAACACAGTTTGTACATCAGTGTTGGTACTAAAATCAGAGAAGCAGACATGGCCTTCGGTGCTTTTTGGTGTCATTCGGTGTCCTGGAGAGCATCAGTTTCGTGACATACTGATAGACATTGTGGAGTGAAAGAAGTTAAATGGTTTGGAAAATGATGGACCAAGTAGGGAAATGAACACCTTCCTTAATGCAGGCCTTCTCAGAGCCTTTAACATGCTAAAGTACAGAATTCTAAAGGCAATTCCTGAACCCAACTGACCACACTTGGGCACACAGTCTCTCACCCTGCCCTGGGCCTGACATCGGGCTATCCTGCATGGTACACTGGGGTCCTTCTCTCCCCAAAACCATCCTTTGTCTTGCCATGCACAGCTTCTAGAATGTTTGGTGGTCACCTGCTCAATGTCCAGTGACCTGGAACTCTCCTAGGCAGCTCTCCGGACCTCAGAGGGCTCAGCTCATAGCACATGGGCCAGGATGGCATGACTGCCCATACTCTTCTCCTCTGCCCAAGCAGCCAGAACTGCATGCTTCTAAATATGTATGAGTTAGAAGCCTGTCCTCTTTCTGCAGGGCAGAGAGAGCACAGGCCCTATGAGCCCTGTCCCCACACTGAGGGGACATGGCTACTTCTGTCTGCTCAGGAGCCTACTAGTAACCACCTCGTAGAGGGCTGGCGAGATAACTCTGTGGGGAAGGTGTGCCACCTGTGACAACCTGATTTCAATCCCCAGGACACATGTGGTAAAGGAGAGAACCAATGCCCACAAGTTGTCCTCTGCACTCCATATGTGTGTCATGGCATGCATACATGCACACGCATACACATACACACACACACACACACACACACACACACACACACACCTTAGAGCACATCATTTGCAAAGATCCCACATGGAGTGAGCAGTCTGAGACTGGCCAGTCAGAGGACAACAGAATAAACATGTTCTCCCACCACATAACATATCCAGGTCAATTGGCTGTGTGTCTGATGGTGGAGTGAACACACAGCTCTCTCAGCCCAGGATGAGCAGAGCATGAGGGTTTCTCCTTCCTCCACCTTGCTCTTTCAAGGGCCGCTCTCCTCTCTGGAAGGCCACCCTTCTCCCTCATGTCTGGGGCCTCCATGCTTGAACTCTGTGGTATTTACCCATCCTTGCAATCTGCAGGTCTTACCACTTGATATTTTCATGTCATGCTCCATGCATGTGTGTGTCCACCATCCTGAGAGGCTAAGCTCAGGCTCTTCACCACACTTCAACCTGTTCAAATGTCATGCATGGCTGCTGTCCTGTCCTCTTTCCACCCGCAGGTGGAAGATGGCTGTTATCCCAGCATCCACATTTAAAAATCAATAAATAGAAGTGTGAAAAAAGCAAATCACTGCCAAGGGTCACCAGCGAGGGGTCACGGACTGGACATCTTCAGGATGGTTGGTTGTTCGTCCGTTTGTCTGCTTATTTGTTTGTTCTGTGGCATGAGAAAGTAAAAATTTATTCATTCAGCAGACACTTTTTAAAAATGTGTTTTTATTGAGTTTTCGTGTATTTCATACGGAATATCTTGATCAATCTTAATCTTCTTTATATCCCCTTCCCCACCGGCACTCTCCCAAAGCACCTCCCCCACTGGAATTCATACATTGTGTCATTTGTGTTAAGGCCTATTTTGTCAAGTTAGGGTGCCCAGATGTTCCTCAGTGCAAGTTCATCTACTGAGGTCAGGTCAGCTTATCTAGAGTCCATCACTTTAGGAAGATCAGCTCTTCCTCGCCCAGCAGCAATCAATTGCCAATATTTCTTCAGCTAAGATGGAGGTCTGCTGCCCATTTCCCAAGTTCTATGCTGGATTTTTGTCCAGCAGATACTTTTTAAAGCGTCAGTTCTACCTGACACAGAGCTGGCTGTCAGAGTTCTGTAAAAAAATAACTGTATACAGCCTTGCACCCTCAGGAGGTTTATTGTTCAGAGGACCAAACAGTTATGAGTAGCTATGCTCCCCTAGGTCCCATTGATAAAAAGGCAAAAGGCTGGGGGGGTGGACAAACATGGAGGTGTTTGATTCTCTGGAACATTCCCTGGTGTGTTCCTCATGACTTTCTCCAGTGCCTGGCTTTTGCTTTCACTTCTTGAGGGTTTTGTTGTTGTTAACATATTTTTTATTTTTTGACAGTTTCATACATGTATACAATGAATTTTAGTCATTTTTGTGCCCTATTACCTCTCTCATCCCCCCTCTTCCCAACAAATCCCCCCCGACACTTTCACATGACTCACAGAGCTTAATTGGAGCTTCAGGGACTAGTGGGAGTGGAAGGTAATCCACTGAGCACTTATCAGTGACTTCACCACTGAAGAAAACGATGCCCTTCACCTGATCGCCATTAACTCTCCCTTAGGGAGGGACAGAGCCTCGAGAGCCCTTCCTTCTCCCGTGATGACATATTAAAGAATGCAGTCTCATTACCTTCTGCAGGTAACCCACAGCCACAGTGAGTTCATGAGTACCATGGCCACGTCGGGTCCAGAAAGCATCTTTTGGCAATGCACGTCCCATCCTCCAGCTCTTCCATTCTGTCTGCCCTCTCTTCTGAGGCATCCCCTGGGCCTTTAAGAGCATGGAATAGATGATGGGTTTTGGAAGGGTGCTGCTCAGTCTCAGTGTGTGAATTGATGGAGGAGCCCCGTGGCCGTGCCCCTCACCCCCTGGTTCCCTCTACTGTGCCCAGCTCCACCCCACCACACAGAAGACCATTGAGCACCTGGCCAGAAGCTGAGGCAACTCTCCCAGGGAATGTGGTGGCAGCCTCTGGATCTGAGAAGGTGTTTGCTAACAGACTAGCAATTCTCCCTTAGAACAGAAGAAATTCAGTCCCCATCAAGGGCTCCTACTGTCCCTCTGTGACCAAAACAGCCCACACCCGTTCGCTGAACCCTCAACCAGGCCCAAACATTAATTTCAGTACTGAACAGTGGAACAAACCAAAGTGGTTTTTTTCCAGAAAAAAAGTAGACTAGCCTGACCCTGAGCTGAACCTGTATATTTTCTAAAACTACTGAATAGGAGCAAGAATCAGACATAACACATTCTGCAAATGAAACCAATGTTTCATTCAGGGCAACTT